GCTAAACACCAGGAGATGGTGACGCTGCAGCTGGACAGCTCCTGAGACAGTGGGACAGAGGACAAGCCAGCAGGTCTGTGGTCATAGGAGCCGGTGGACAGCTTCCAAAGGGTGCGTGCTACTGGTCAAAGGAAGCACCCACGGGGCCAAACTCCCAGGACCCACCGTGAAGACAGTGAAGTCTCTGAGGCAAGGGAGACACGGATCCGGGAGAGATACTGACGGGACCGCAGGGCCAGCTGCGGCAGAGCCCAGAGGGAGTGGCGCGCTTTCCCACCTTGAAGGCCAGGACGAGGATGATGCCTGGGATGGAAGCAAGGCGGATGAGCCAGCGCCACCCAATGGTGGGGATGACCACGGAGGCCAGACCAATGATGAGCAGGGAGCCGGCCAGCCAGAACACCTGCGGGAGAGCCTGAGTCAGGGGCCTCCTCGCCAAGACGCCCCGCGTTTCCCCTCCCCCGGCCCCAGCAGGCGCCCCGTGCAAGGGTGAGGGCCCAATACTGCCCTGATCCGACTCCACGGACTTGGACGGAGCACGTGTCGCTCGGACTTCCCCGTGGCTCCCTCCGATTTCTGTAAACCGGACCCTTAGCCAGAGGGTCAGTAACATTACCGAAGTTTAAAAACTCGGGTACCCCCTAAAGGGGCTTTTCTTCCTGAAGCAGATCACTGACCCACGCAAGCGACCCAGGGGGACAGTGAACATGCTCTCTTCCACTCTGCCACGGTTTCTCCAATATTATCAGTTTCGTCTGCATACTTCCAAAGCTCTTCTAGACATGCACAGACTCATTAGGGTACATATTTGTTCTTTTTTCTCCACAAGCAGCACTTTAGGACACATAATACTCTATATTTTGCTTTTTTTGTAATACACCTCAGCGATGGGGGGGGGGTTACTGTGCCCTTTTTTTTTTTTTTTTTTTTTTTTTCCGGGGATTGAACCCAGGACCTTGCACTTGCCAGGCAAGCACTTATTCTACTGAGCTATCGGTGGAGATAACTGTATATCAGGGAGTCACACGGAGTTCACTACAGCCTCATGGAGCGGGAATTAGAACACCTGTTGCCACTGGCCTGAGCATTCTTCCCATGGGACGATGGGGAGAAGGGACAATGTTAGAAGATTCCTTCGGCCAGGTGCGGAGGTGCACACCTGTAATCCCTGCTACTTAAGAGAGAGGCTGAGGCAAGAGGATTGCAAGTTTTGGGCCACTGTGGGCAATTTAGTAAGCCCCTGCCTCAAATTAAATAAATGAATAGCACTAAGAGTACAGCAAAGTGTTGGAGTGTTGACAAGACCTTGGGCTGAAACCCAGTAAAGTGCCAAAATAATGATAATAATCCATAAGGAACCAGTTAAGGAGTGCTATTGCATTCAAGAACTCTATTGCCAAAAATTATTTCAGAAGGCGATTAGGGCTATAAAGAAATAATACCGTGATAGAGAATGATCTGGATAGGGATCACTTTTGTGAACTTCCAACAAATACGGCCACTGGTGCAGCCGTAGTAAAAAGGGAGGTAGCACTGGGCAGGACTTCAGTACTAAAATGACACAATGTTTTATTTTTTTCTTAGGCACGCACTTTTGAGGCAGAAGTGGCACAAGGTTTGTTGATGGACACTTGGATCAGGCATGGAGGTCATCCCTCCTCTACCCCACATCTGGCTATGGGCCCTCTTGGCAGTCAACTCCGGGGTCCCCTTGGCTCTCCTAACTCACCCCAGTGGTGTCAGCTCTGTTAGTGATGGTTATGGGTCACCAGGGCTTGACAGTTGACAGAGGGGGGTGAAGGGAGGGGAAGAGCGCGTCAGTACTCTGCCACGTAACATCCTCGGATTCCACAGCCACACTCTTAACCATCCATGTGCTAAAAATACTCAGAAATAAATTGTGTCTGAGCCTTACACGTCCAGGCTTTGTTGTTATTCCCTGAACAATGCAGCAAAACAACTCTTTTCATAGATCGCTTAGTAGGTATAAATCCTCCAGAGATGTGTTCATGTAGGTCAGAGGATGTGTGAAGATCCTATGCAAACATGGCACCAGGACAATACGGGAGGGACCTAAGCATCCTGAGACTCCAGGGCCATTGGGGTCACAGAACCCATTCCTCCAGATGCCAAGGGACAGCCAATAACAGAGAGCTAACACCAATGGGGTGGGTTAGGAGAGACAAGAGGACCTAGGGGGGCCATAGCCAGGTGCAGGACAGAGGAGAGACAATCTCCACCTGTGAACTGGGCAGACCCGTTCCTCACACAGTCATGGAGAGAGTTAGTGTTTCACTCCAAATGCCACCGTGGACAACAGATGACATAGGCTCAGGAAAGCTTTCAATTGACTCCAAGCACTCTTGGTGCCTTTTAGTTGGTGCTGATCAATAGGCAGAACTCCAGCCAACATGGGTAGAAAATCCATGAGCTTCATACCCTGGGAGAGGTGGATGATGGGGTACAATTCCAGTGCCGCCTTACCTGAGACAAGGGAAGCATATAGCCTCGATATTTTGTGGGCAGAAATTCAGTCTTTATAATTAACCTAAATAGGAAAGAGAAAATCAAACATTATCACTTTGATTCTATGAAACCAGATGACTTTTCTTTAAATAGTCATAATCTTTCTAGTCATAAGCATAAAGAATTCAAAAACAAAATCTCATTGGGCATCAAAATGTAATTGTTTCAGGCCGGAGAGATGGCTCAGCTGACTAAAACGTCTCCTTTAAGCAAGCTTAGGCAAATGCAGGGACCAGGGTTCGATCCTCTGCACCACGTGCCTCACCAGCCCCACCCCCAGGCTGGACTGAGCTGGCCACAGAGTCTGGGCATGGAGGCGCATGCCTGTAATCCCAGCACTGGGAGGCTGAAAGTAGAACCACTGTGAGTCTGAGCTGTGTGGTGAGACCCTGAGACAACCAAACACATTTTTAAAAACGTAATTGTTTTAGCTGATGTGCACCTAAGAAACCAATAAGAAGTAAGCTTAGGCAGGTGTATGGTGCACACCTGTGATCCCAGCACTCAGGGGGCTGAAGCAGGAAGACTGCTGTGAGTTGAAGACCAGCCTTGGCTACAAAGCGAAACCTTGTCTTAAGAAGGAGGAGGAGGAGGAAGAGGAGAGAGGAGGAGGGAGGAGGAGGAGGAAGAAGAAGGAGGAGGAAGAAGGAAGAGAAAGGAGGAGGAGGGGAGGGGAGATAAGAAGTAAACTTACAATTGCTTCTCATCCTATACCCACTGCCACTTAGGAGACAGTAGGGACATCACTTTTGCAAAGAAAAGCATTGGCCTGGTTTTCTCAAACTGATTCCCTTTAAAAAAATAAAAAATGCCCAAAACTTATTCAAATACAGCGCACCCAAACAAAAGTAATATTTCCAATGCCAGTCAAAATATAGCTGCCTAATTAAGCACATATTAATTATTGGGAATAGAAGAGTGGATCACATTCCATCCATTTTCTAATTGTTTCTTTATTGCTATGATTAGCCAGGATGGGAGTTTTTAAAATTCTTGGGATATTTAAAAATTGTACTCAACTTCTGTCCCCTTAGGGCTCCAAAGCTCAGAGCACCGCCTAACTTCTGCCCCAGGGAAGAACAATTCTTTCAGCCAACACATTAAGGAAACAATTAGGTGTTGAGTCTTCTCCTGATAGTTTCAAAGTGACTTGCTCCAGGCTCTGGGGAGGGCGTAGCTAGAGGAGCTTGGCTAATTTCCAGGAGGCCACTCCTACTACCTACCGAGAAGCCCAGGCCTGCTTCTCCTCCTCCAGCACTAAACAGGCCAGAGGCACCCAGGCCATTTCAATGTTCTCAGCAGGTTTTACGAATTATCACCGGGAACAGTCTGAAGTCACAGGGTGGTGGCACTTTAAAATAGCAATCCCTCCAGAGCAAGGAGGTGCACGCCTAAAATTCCAGGATTCTAAAGGCTGAGGCAGGAAGATCATTGTGAGTTCAAGACCATTGTGGGCTACAAAACGAGCTCAAGTCCAGCCTGAACTGCATAGCCAGATCCTGCCTCATTTAAAAAAAAAAAAAAGACAAAAAACAAAACAAAACAGCAATTCCTGATGGCCAAACTACACTCTAAATACGAACTTTGTTGGTCTAACAAAATTGTGAAGGTCTAAAAAGTAATGATTAGCCTTTGGAAGAAGAGGCAGCAAAAAGTAACACATGTGCAGTCTAACACGGCAAGCTTCACCACCAAGCATTATGTCGACGACAACGGCTCCTAATGGATTATGAAGCCATCGCTTTTTTTTTTTTAAATGTATTTAGTACAGGGTCTACAGGGCCTCACTACACAGATCCGACTTGGAGTGATCCTGCTGTTTTCAGCCTCCCAAGCACTGGGATTACAGGCGTATGCCACCGCGTCCCCTCTCAAAGTGCCCCAGCGGCGGGGCGCCTGACTAAACAGGCACTTTAGTCTGCTGAGCTATCTAGTTGGTCTGAAGCTGTCACTTTTAAACAGCTGATGAATGTCTGGCCAAATAGCTCAGCGAATTAAAGCGCCTGTTTAGGCAGATGCGGGGCCGGGCATTGATCCCTGGCACGTTGTGCCTGCCTGGCCTGTGGGGCGTGCTGAGATGGCAATGGAGCCTGGGTGAGATGCGGCACGCCTGTAATCCCAGCTCTTGGGAGGTTGAACCCAGGCAGATCACTACAAGTCTGACCTGTGTAGTAAGACCCTGTAGACCCTTGCAAAAATACAAAAAAAAAAAAAAAAAAAAAGTGCTGAAGCATAATTAGCGCAAGCAGAGCCTGTTTATCTCGCACTGTCGATCCGCTCTTCTGATTCGTCGTGTGCGCAAATGCCCAGGAGCGGCCCATTTCTCCCTCCCGGGTTTCCCCAGAGCCGTGGAGCAGTCTTTACCCTTGAGAGTGTCCGGACACACCACAGCCCACCATGGTCCTCAGGAAGACGAACCAGATGTACGAAGGAGCGAAGGACGTCAGCAGGGAGAAGTAGGCGCCCCACACGAAGGAGAGCAGCAAGATCTGAGGCGGCAAAGAGAGCTTGCTCAGGGGCCTGCCCTAGATGGGGCAGGGGGACCATCGGCCTTCTCAAGGGGACTTTGCCTTTCTCTCCAGGGGTTTACTTGTCAAACACACAGCACCCTGGCCTCTAGTCATCCACAAGGGCCAGCCTTGCTCTTGTCTGAAAGGCTACCCTTCCAGGTAGACTAGTTCTCCAGGGTCCTCTGGGCCTGCTGTAACAGGTGGCAGGGCCTGGAATTGTACTTTAGAAAGCAAAAGCCTGCTTCCCTACACACAGGGTGAGAGCTCAGTGACGTACAGTACTGAGCTAGCGTAATTAGCGAAAACAAGGTATTTGCTTTATCGCTATAAGAATAATACAAGTGCAGAGGCCTGCAAGACAGCGATCTTAGGCAAGCTTAGGCATGCTTAGGGACTGTGGTTTGATCCCCGGCACCACATGCTGCACCAGTCCTGCCCCCAGGATGTGCTGAGCTGGCAACAACAACAACAACAAAAAAAAAAAAAAAAAAAAAAACACAAGTGCATAATAAAGAACAAGGAAGAAAGAATAAAAATTCAAAATCTTGATTCTCTGACCTGGAGAAAAAGTACCCCCTTAAAACTGTTTAAAATCCTATTTTCCTTGTAGAGGAAAGCGAATTTGTAAAAGCTATAAAATATTCCAGAAGCTATACTATAGTACATGTAATATAAAACATAAATTGATTGTATACCCTACTGGTGAATGATAGGAGCTGATTCCAATTTTCTCAGTATGGAAATAAATGGGGCCTGAGGAGATAGCTCGGTGGCATAACCACCTGCCTGGCAAGTGCAGGGATCTGGGTTTGACCCCCAGTACCACATGCCATGCTGGCCAACAGAACTGGGCATGGTGGCGCACACCTGTAATCCCAACGCGGGGTAGGCTGAGCTAGGAGGAGGATCACTATGAGTCCAAGCTGAGCAGTGAGATCCTGTACCAAAGAAATAAATAGAAAAGGAATGGGTATGACATCTGCAGGTACAACTTCATGTCCTCCCTGACCCCCTCAGCCAGCTAGATTGCTGCAAGGTAAGGGATCAGATTAGGAGAGTGAATCTTTTCAAGATTCTTCATTCATGCTACCATGCTGAGGATCAGAGAAATTACACTGCTGAGAAGGAATATTTGCTCTCCATCTCTGACTTCTTAGTTGAGCTGGACTCTGCAACACAAGACAGCTGAAGGAGACAAAAACTGAATGAACACCAATTAACATAGGTTTGTGCGAGATGGTCCAGGTCCTGCAGTGAGAAGCATCTCAAAGGTGAGGCTTAGAACTCAGCATCCAAGGAAAACAGCTATGGGCCCCGGATGTGAGAAAGTAACACACAGAGGAAATGAGCAGGCAGTTGGTCTGCAGGCTCCTCTGTGGCTTTCTCTAGCCTGAGTCCAGAATTATCTCAGGCAAAGCAGAGCTTGCAGCCTGTATTGGGCAGAAAAGCAGGAGACAGGGTTTTTCTTCCGCTGGCTGCTTAGCTGTCATTAGCTCAAAAATAATTTTATTTCAAAAAGGCATGGTTTGGGCAATGTATTTCTGGTTTCCTGCAGTACCTGTAGTATGTGAGGATGTCTGTATTTCTAATGTTTAGTTTCAACAGTGGAAGACAATACCTCATGGAGGCCCTGGATATGGCTTAGTGAAATAGTGCCCGCCTGGTAAGTGTGAGGTCCTGAGTTTGATTCCCAGAACCAAAAAAAGAAAAAAAGGAAAAGAAAAAATTATAATTTTTTTTTTTTTTTTTTTTGTATTAAGGACAGGGTATACAGGGTGTTCAGGGTCTCACTGCATAGATTGGACTCAAAGAGATCCTCTTGTTTACAGCCTCCCAAGTGCTGGGATTACAGGTGCGCGCCACCACACCCAGTCTCAACTGCTGTCTCAGCGTGCCCTGGGGGCGGGGCCAGCATGGCAGGTCCAGGGATAGAACTCCAGGCCCCTGCCTCTGTCTAAATTGGCGCTTTAATCCACTGAGCTATTTGGCCAGCCCTTCAAAGTTTAATATTAATTTCATAAGGAAAAATGATATTTGCTATGTTATTTGCTTTCCTTAACTCCTGAGATTACATTTGCAAGGTTTATCAGTTACATTTCTTCTTTTATAAAATGCCTTATGATTTTTTTCCTTTTTGAAATACTTCTAATTTCATGTCAATTTATAAGACTATATTATTTTAGCCAGATGTGATGGCCCAGGACTGTAATCTCAGCCCAGAGAGGTTTAGGCAGGAGGATCACCATGACTTTGAGGCCAGCCTGGGCTACACAGTGAAGGCCTGTCCCTAAATATTTAAAAAATGAACAAGACACTAGGGTGCCAGGTGTGGAGACAAACTGTAAAACCAGGACAACCACCACACTGAACTCAAGAATGTGCAGTCAGAGAAGGGAATTCCTTTTTTGTCTTAGGCGTTAGAATGTCCACGGAAGAGAAGCCACAGGGGATCCTACTAAAGACCGCAGCAAAGAAAACTCCCAATTCCGCCAGACCCAACCTACCTTCCAGCGGCCGTATCTGTCAGCCAAGAGCCCAAACAGGACGCTGGCCACCATGTAGCCAAAAAACACCATCTGCAGGGAGAAGGGAGAGGCAGTGCCTCAGCAGAACCAGCTGGACGTGCGCCTGCGCGCTCATCCGCCTCAGCCGAAGGGGCTGGGAACGCGGGAGACGCAGGAGTTAAAGGGGGTTCCCTGCACGCCCTCCTGGGGCTCCACACAGATGGTTCTGCCTCCTGTGGCGGACCCCACACCTTCAGACACTGGCCCCTGAGGAAATGGCATGTAGCTGTGTCTCCCT